TTGACCCGAATCATACGTGGTAGGTAGGTACCCCTAGCCAGTTTGGCAGGTTTCTTCTATCTGTTCCACGTTGTTCATGTCATGTACCGTTCGATCTGTTTAGTATATCATGTACTTAGCAACCTTACTTCGTACCTAGGCCCTTCATTGAAAAGTAGTTGTTTGTCATTGGAAGCCAGGCGCTAGCTATAGTCGATGTACTCGCGCCAAATTCTCCAGGGGTAAAGCCGTTATAGAGTGCTTCGCCTGAGAAGCCTTGCTTTATCTCCCTGATCTACGCCTCCTTCTCTTCGTCCGTAGCAGCCTTCAGACGCCGCTATGGTAACGAGCCCTGGGCGAAATATAGGTACGAAAAGCCGAAAAGGTATCTAAGGGACTCCGAAGTCGTCTCCCCAAGATTGTTCGTCCTACGTATTGGCAAGCGGACGAGTAACATGGTGATGAAGCACCTACTACGTCCTTTTATGGCTGTTGATGCTTGCGTACCGCCTGTACCGCCTAGCGGTATACCTTCTATATCCTTGTCACGCTCCGTGTCGGCATCGCAGAACTCCTGGGCGAAGCTAAAATCAATCCAACCTTATCGTATCGAGGTAGCGATGGAATTACGGATACCGATACACTTTATTCTAGGTAACATCACAAGTGGGGTATAATTTTTCATCGCTGTGAGGTGCAAACGCCTGGACGCCTTGGCACGCGCGCGCGGGTTGTACAGCACTTTTTTATTTTTGACGAAAAATTGGGAAAAAGGAGAGCCTGAAATTTTACAAACAGCTTTCTCAACCACGCCACGAGATACGCGCACCGCGCGTACCCCTAGACCTATATATCTAACTATGTAGAATCTGAATATATTACCTGATTGATCGTGCGGATAATACGCGTTACGATTTTGATAGATTTGTCTTTTTCTTCGAACTTTTGAAGATATCTTGGCAAATCTTGGCAAATCTTGGCAGAAATCCGAGAGACTTCAGCGCTTTTTTTGTTCATCAATAACTCTACGCGTATTATCCGTACAATTAATCAGGTAATATATTCAGATTCTACATAGTTAGATATATAGGTCTAGGGGTACGCGCGGTGCGCGCATCTTGTGGTGTGGTTGATATATCTGTTTGTAAATCCTGGGATTTTCCCCTTTTTTGGCTCGTTTTCAAAAATTTAGAGGGTGTCCAGGCGTTTGCAAGCGTGAAAACGAACTGATAAGATTGCTTGTTTCTTCTAAGATCCACTGGACCACCCGTGATCCTTTTGTCGTGGACAGACTGCTTAGCTAATACAACAACCTCCACAAAAGTGGGCCTATTGTGTCCATGTCCATCATCCCTTCTTCACGCGCCAAGGCGTCCAGGCGTTTGCACCTCACAGCGGCGGCTAACGACGAGTGCGACGCATCATCTCCACCTCAACACTTCAACGCCTCAACACCCTAACACCCCAACACCACTTGTTTTGCTTCCGGCGGCTAGCAGCTAGCCGATGCCCAAATCCCTCTAGGTAAGGTACCTACCACCTTACCTGTCTCTGTCCTGTCCTCCTCTTCCAAACACGCGATTCCGTCTTTCTCACACAGTATTGAGATCAATTGATTCAATTCCTCCCTCGCTGACACTGGATTTTAACTTTTTTAAAGGCCTTAGACAAGAGGTGATTCCCACGATCAATACGAGACGCGCACTGCAACATGGCCCAAACGGCAGCCTCTGTCCTGGAGGGCACAAACAATGGAAATGGGTCTGAGGACAAGTCTTCGCGGCCGCACGGCGATCAAACCATTCCTTCTCTGCACTCGGCCGACTCGGACCTCGTACAGCTCGCGTCTGCGTCAGCTGATGAGACGGTTAAGATCTGGGATCCGGCGACGGGCCAGTGCAGAGCGACTCTCAACGGACATAGCGGACCGGTCTTCTCGCTAGCCTGGTCGCCAGATGGAGCCCAGCTTGCGTCGGGATCGTATGACGGGACTGTCAAGATCTGGAATCCGGCAACCGGCCAGTGTACAGCAACCCTTGAGAGCCATGGAGGCTCAGTCTTGTCAGTGGCGTGGTCGCCCGATGGAGCTCGCCTTGCTTCGGGATCGCGCGACGGGCCCATCGAGATCTGGAACCTAGCGACTACACAATGCATCGCAATGCTTAAGGGCCATGACAAGTCGGTCTTTTCGGTATCTTGGTCACCGGATGGAACGGAGTTGGTATCCGGGTCAGAAGATCAAACTATCAGGACTTGGGATTCGGCAACCGGCTGGTGTAGAACGATTCTCGAGGCCCATAGAGACTCCGTCTTATCAGTAGCCTGGTCGCCCGATGGAGCCCAGATCGCGTCGGGTCCGGATAATAGGATTATCAAAATCTGGGCTGCGTCCTTCAGGATTTCAGAGACTCTCGAGGGCCATACAGACTCAGTTGCGTCGGTAGTGTGGTCGCCCGATGGAGCTCGTCTCGCGTCAGGCTCAGACGATCAGACTGTCAAGGTCTGGGATCTACACACTGGCCTGTGTATAGCGACGCTTTCGGGCCATGACAAGTTCGTTCAATCGGTAGCCTGGTCGCCCAATGGAGCCCGGCTAGCATCGGGGTCAGACGATGAAACTATCAAGATTTGGGATCCCGTAACAAGCGAGTGTGTAGGGACGCTTAGAGGTCACAAGGACAAGGTCTACTCTGTAGCTTGGTTGCCCCGGCGTCTCCACAAAGGTGAAGTGGACGACGAATGAGACAGGACATATTTTGACACGATGGCCATTTTTGAATCCTCGATCACTTTAAGAAGTAGGCGGGAGAGATACTCTCTGAGCCACTCTTTTTAGTCATACCGAAGCCCCTTCCAAGCAGCCCGTCCCGTCCCCAACGGATTTCCAGGTTCAGAGGTCCCTCCCCTGATCTGAATCAATGGTTATAACCCGAGTCAACGTACCCGACTAGCCGCCTTGGCGGGGGGTTGGATCGCCGATTTTGAAGGCCCGACGAGTACATGTACCGCGCGGATTTGTGAGTTTATATCCGTAATGATTCCCGGTTACCTAGGCATGTTTCTTGTCTTTCGAACACCCATACAGGCAGTTTTTAACCCGGGTAGAGCACAAGCTAAGACCGGGCGGCGGGGAGGTGCCAGCAACCCGAGGATAAGACCGGAGAGGGTGTGATCGTGTGGGTGACATAGCCCCTGACCGCCGCAAAGCTCTGCCGTGAAACATTAATATTGTATCTGCGCCACGACAACGGCCGGGACCGGACAACGGGAATATCGCACTCTTGCGCGGATGGCTCCGGCTCACCCGCCAATGGGGGTGAGCCAGGTGAGCCGGGGAGCCAATCATGAGCCCGTCTCCTCATTGGAGCTCACCGGAGTTATCGAGCGTGCTGGGGATCCCAACCGTGCGCCCGATCACCTCCCAGGCATCTTGTTGAATTGCCAACCGTCGTACCCAAAATCTGCCCCGGCAGCAGCGAACATAGCACCCAGATGCACCCGCCGAGTCTTCGTTCTGTGATGCAACTGACGCTTTTGAGATTGCGGAATTGCCCTGGAAGGACGGCTTGGGCAAGAATTCGGCTTACTGTACGGAGCGCAAGTGCTTGCCTCCCGATTATGTTGAACAATAGGGTAAAGAGACAGTGAGACGATATCATCACTGCAAACATAACGTTGCAATTGGCGGCCGGCTTCTCTGGGGTTGTGGGGGATGCGGGAAAGTCGATGGAGCCACTCGCTACGATTTGCATCAGTGTGTGTGGAGACAGATGCTAACCCCCCAGCGACATATATGATATCGCGATGAATCATCATGATGCCGAGTCCTTGCTCCACATGTATAACACGATTAGTTTGCGACCCAGTACAAAATATGAGCTACTAAACAAACTAGCCTTACACTTCCCCTCTGTTCTATCCATCCTATCCTGACGCCAATATGTCTTCCACCGAGACCTCAACCCCTGACGTCCTATCCAACCTCCCTCCCATCCCCGAAGACGAATTCTGCGTCTTCGGCTGCGTATTTCCCCCGTTCCTCCCCTTACCTCCCATTCTAATCTAACCCCCACAGGTCTACGCTTACCCCGCCCACGCCAACGCCCTGGAACGAGTCTATGCCCTAACCACCCATCTGGCCGCCTCAGAGCCGGGGATTCTGCACTATTGTATCGCCAGAGACGAGGCGGATAGAAACATGTTTCATTTCTTTGAGAGGTACACGGGACGGAAGGCGTTTGAGGAGCACAACAAGCAGCCGGTGATTGTAAAGTTGTTGAATGAGGATGGGTATATTAAGAGTGTGGAGGCAAAGTTTTGTAAGGCTATCAAGGGAAAGGGGAATTAGTGCTTACCTCCCATACAAACCGATAAGCTCTACAAAGAAGGTGGTCTCCGCCCCCGGGTCTTGTATACCAGCAACCTAGAGCAAGGCCTGCTCTCCCTCGGCGGTACACCCCAACATCTCGCAGCGTAGCGCGGCAAAGCCAGGCGGGGTCTACTCGGGCAGTTCCACGGCGAGATCGATATGGCACTGCCCGAAGACCATAACAAAAGGAAAAGGTACCAAGGCAACATAAACGTAGGCGGAGCGGTCTTGGCCGCGGTGGAGCGGGTTGAAGAGGCGCACTGCTTCAAGGGACGCTGGGTCCGGGTTGGCGGCGGCGAGTCTGGCGCGTAAACAAGTGGATTGCGGGTCGAGTTGCGGGGTGGATATGGAGGTGCCGCTCCGGTCCCGGTCCCGGGCCCCGAAGAGGTTGGGCGGGAAGAGGGATACGTTCCGTCTCCCGGACACCGTGGGCGGCGAGGAAGTGGTCTAGGATGGCGATGGGCACTTTGAAGCCGCTTAGGAGGGTGATGAGACCCATTTCGGGAGGCGGGCTTAGCTGAGCTTTCCTTTTTTGGTCAGCTTTGATCCGCTTTGCAGCAGCAATTGGATGCGAGCGAGGTAGAATGGGCGATGCCTTCCGGGCTCCGTCCCCAGCGCCGTTTATACCTGTGAGACAAAAAGTGAATAAAATTGACAAGGACGAGATTCGAACTCGCGCGGTTTCCCACTGGAGTTAATAACCTAAATCCAGCGCCTTAACCACTCGGCCACCTTGCCATATTCTATTAACTGGCAAGGATAGATCTTGAATTCCACGCATCGGAAATCCGGTGACGCCTAGATTGTATTAGGAAGTGATCTTAAGTTATTAACAATGTCCAAGCAAGTTTCGGGTGACCATTCCGCATCTAGTTTCAGTACCTTGTCTTTGTTCGACTTCAACGTCGCGCCGGAAACGAGTCGTCAGCCCCCTTCTCTAGAGGAAACAAAGGCGAGACGCCAGCACAAAGCTGAAAAAGTACGAACCCAGTATCTCCAAGATTAACCTAAATAGAGCTCTGCATCTTCGAGCTTTCTCCTTCCGCGGCAAACTTCGAATGCCTAGGTAGTCTCGCCGAAAGCATCTAGATTGAGGAACTCAGCCCAATGCCTTGACGGGGCAAGTTGCGAGGAAAATCCCTTCCGCCTCACAGTCCCCAGCTCCCGCACAAAGCGAGACTCTTCAACGGGGTGTGAGCAACATTAATACTACCTCAGCAGTACGGGTCGAAAACGACACCATAGCAAATAGCTTTGGACTCACCTCTGTTTCGGAAACTAGGGGCTGATCGAGCCATCCAACGAGGAACGTCAAGCAGCAACCACTCTGGGGGAGCCGCTACCCCGACCACCGAGGAAACCCCCATATTCTACACCACCTCATCGTTTGGAAAAAATTGAAGCCGGCAAAGCTCATCGCTGCAAAACCTAACCAACGGAGAGAACCCACATCAGAAAGAGAGGCTCCAAATATGGTTGCTCATGACCCCCTAAGCACCGGGCGGATGACTAGGTCCATGATAGCACGAGCAGCCACAGCCCAGCCAAAACAAGAACCTCCCGGTCGCGCTGTCAAAAAGGGCAGCTCAAGACCGGCGGAAACACCCAAACCCGTCACCAAAGCCGGAAAAAAGGGAAGAGCTGAGCCTAAGGCCAAAGCATCCAAGGGAGAAACTGAGACAGAAGCGGCGAGACCCACGCCCAGGAGGAGGAGTAAGCGGCAGGCCACGCCGGAAAAAGCGGCGCCATCAGCATCGAATGCGCAAGTAACAATCGGCCCTCAATTACGGCCAAACACCCCGCGCACGGGTCTCCGGGCTGAAGCCGCCCAACCCCCGGCGAACAAACCGGCACCCCGAAGTGAACGCCGTAAAGCTGCCGACTTCTACGAGATCACCAAAGCCCCGAATACACAGGAAGGAAGCCCTCCGTATGCAACACCAGCCAAGCCCACCTCCGGCGACGGTGTGAAGCAACCACCTGGCGAGGCATCGACGACTCCCCACATTCCGTGGGATATATATGGCATTCTCGACTCACCTGGCACCACCCAAGCAAAGCCCAAGACGGACAGGAAAAAAAGGAAAGCACACCTCAACATTAAAAAGCAGCCAGCGAAGCCTATCCGGAGTATCTCCCGGCAGGATGCCCCCGGCGCTTGGCTCAAAGAAACTGCTTCCAGCGCCCCTCTACCATCACCGGGCACCGTTGCAATGATGGAAGAAGACCTCAGCGGAGAAGCGGAAGCGGACCCCCACGACAGGACAATGGACGCGGATTACATCCCGCTCGGCCCGGGGCCCATGCCCAAGATCCCGAAGCTTCCAAGGGCTCCCAAGAAGCGGCCCAAGAAGCAGCGAGCCCCCGGGCCTTCCCTGGCCAAGCAAGAACCAGAGTGCGATCGCTTCGTGGACCCTGCCTTTGCCGACACCTCGTATCCAGCCCCACCATCGCCAGAAGGGCAGCCAGTCGTGCCGCCGCTGCCCGTACCGCCACCACCGCCGCCTGTAGACCACGCTCCGGAAGCCGACCCCGGCATCTGGGGTCTTGGAATAAACACGCCACCACAGCACGCCATCCGGCGAGCCCCCGCACGCCCAGGGAACGTCTATTGCGAGACGTGTTTCCGCGATGACGTTGCGCGGTGGCTCAGAATCCGCGACGGCGTCGTGCGCGTCCTGCACTTGCTCGGCGGTGACACGGCGCTAGAAGAACTGCGGACGCTATCTCTCGAGGCTGAGGAGGCAGAGCTATCCTTGACGGAAGAATACCGAGAGAGTCGCGTGAGCGGCGTTGGCTTGAGAAGTCCGCCTCCGCCAGAGTACATCTCATCTAGTTCGGAGTCTGAGGGTGAAGAAGAGGGGCCTAGGAAGGGGTCTGTGGCAGCCAAGAAGATCATTGTCATGTCGGATCATGGTCAGAGTTGGGAAGCGCCACATTTTAACGAGTACCCGTCCGACATTGTCGGTCTTGTGTTGCTGCGAATCCTGGCGGAGCGGCCTACCTCTGGTCTTGACCAAGCCCAGAAGGACGAGCTGAGCGAGCTACTCGAAGGCTTGCGCCAGGATGTGGGGATTGGGCTCAGATTCTTCCAAGCCATGACGACTGTAGGCAAAAGCATGGTCGTGCGTTGGAGGACGACGAGACTGCCAAAGGGCGGGCCCGAACAACCGGACAGCCGAGGCAAAACAGGTCACTGGTGGTGGGAGTTTGACGACACGCTACAAACGGCTCAGCAGGAGGTATCGGCCGAGACGCACTTGCCATCGTTATTTGCGATCACCCTCGCGAACAAGGCCCGTGATGCGTCGTTGGGCGCCCTCACCGCCAAAGAGGCTGCCACGGCCCCGAAGCAGGCAGGCAGCCATCACGGGGACACGCTTCACCTGGCCGTCAGCCTTGCCGAGCTGGAGAGAGCCCTCGGCATGGCCATCCCAAGCAACGCCTTCCTCAAATCCATCGGAGACAAACTCGCGCTCGCAAAACAACAGCTCGAGCCCACTCCCCAACCCACCTCAACCAAACAAAAGCGTGACCCCTCCCCCGATTCCCCCACCCCCTCCCCCAAACGCCGCAAACCCAACACCACCGCCTCCCCCCCTCTCCCAACCTCACCATCACCCCCCTCACAGCCCTCACAGCCCTCACAACCCCCAACCCCCCTCCCATGCACCTACTGCTCCGAATCCACCGCCTCCCACCGCCACCGCGCACGACGCGCCCGGCTCTGGGGCGACGACAGCAGCAGCAACCCAGCCGACCCCAACACCAGCAACCACCACCACCACACCACCGCCACACAGCCGTGGACCCGGCCCCTCGCCTGGGCTTTCCCCCGCCTCCCACGCTCCGCCGCCGCACGCATCCGCACGCCGGCGGACTGGCTGCGGTTTGTGGCGGCGTCACGGCGGGTGCGGGTTGTGGAGGTGCGGCCGCCTGGGTTGTCGGTGTTGGTGGGGAGGGGGAGGAGGAGGAGGGTTCCGGGGGGATAATAGGGGCAAGGGAGGGGAGGCGGTGGTGAGGTTTATGGTGGATGGGGCGGGCGGGCGGACGAGGGTGGTGCTGGTGCAGGTTAGGGGGGTTTTTGAGGTGCTTCTTGGGTATGGTGGTGGTGGTGGTGCAGGGCGAGGTGGGGGGTTTGGTGGGGGTACGCGTGGGAGGAGTGGGAGTCAGGTGCGGTTCGCTCCTGCGCCGGTGATGGTGCGGGAGACGACGGGGGCGGTATTGGGCGCGGCGAGGTCGGTGGGGATGTGGGAGAATTGGAGAGGGGGGGGGTTGGAGGGGTCGAGGTTTGTGTGAGTTTGCGACTCAAACTCGAGGTTTGGCCGAGTGGTCGAAGGCGTCAGGTAATGGACCCGATAAGATAAGAGGCTGATAAGATAGCGATGTGGGGCTTGTCAGGGCGACACGTGAAAAACAACCACCGCACCAAATCGGCCCCCGTTCAGTTACGAGTCGTCTCACTTGCCGTCTCACAGCGTTTAGTGAGACGACGTCTCACCAGTGCTTTGTGGTGCCGTAACGGTTTCAGAAAGAGCACTTGTTGCTGGAATTCGTCGTATCAGTTTAGAATGGAAAATAGAATCGTAAGTCACAATTTCTCTCCATCGCCCAGTGCAGCGTGCTGGCGGCCCGATCGTGAAGTGAGATCGTGAAACTGCCCGTGTAAGCGCCAAGCGACGGCAGCGGGAGCTTAGTGCGCGGCACTTGGCACGGTTCTGATCCAGACACCGGGCCGGGCCCGGGTCCCGTCATCCTTCATCTTTGCCCAACCATCACCAAGAGGAAAGTCCATGTGTTGGTGTAACCTCGCGGTACTGGGTCGGATGCTACGCTGGTATTCGCTTGGGAAAATATGTATACTACGACAGCCGAACGACATCCATATGTATACCCGCCGGCCGCTTCATTGACCTCCCGGCTTTTTCTTATCGCTGGCTTGTTGGCGCTTCGAGTGACTGGAGGAAAAACAACCCTCAGCCGCCAACATCGCAGATCCCAACGGCATTTATGATCGGCGGCTTCGAGATCGACATGTCTTTTACCGGACTGTAGACCAGTGTACCGCCAGTCTGCAACTGGCAGGGAACCCCCACACATCTGAAACGGCTTGTTAAAGGGGTTCCAAAAGTCCCCGCCGATGACCTCATCGTCAGACCGGATGGATATGGGGGACCAACTAGCGGCGGGTTGCGAAGCAAAAAAAGAAAGTTAACTGGAAGACGTCAGTATGTTTGCTAGTTCTAGAAATAGGTACCTATGTTGAAAACTTCACAGCCATAAGCATCGATCCAAGATGTTCAGGAGAAAAGTGGCCAGATTGAAGGAGGGCCCGCCGTGCCAATCCCCGCCAGGAATCAAGGACGTCGTTGAAGATCTGCTGATCTCAAACCCGGCTGTGGCATGGGCGGATGTACCACACACAACCTGAATGGGTGGCCACACCGAGCGGCGCAAGCTCGGCCGGGTTGCTTGTCGGTTGCATGCTCTGCGCAAGGAAAGCAAGCGCTCATTCTCTATTGGCACAAACTCGGTGATCAACAAAAACGCTTTCAACCTGTCACGTTCCGAAGGACCGATCCACAGCGGTTCTATTACATTTTTTATCAAAAAGTTCTCCTCGCTCCGAGTCACCTAATCTGGCAGAGGGAGGGACTGATCCACATGTTCAACTTCAGTTTGTGTTTCTGTCGTGCTCCCTCGTTTCCACCGTGTTGGACGGTACCCCAAACCCCGAC